TTGTCACTTCCCATCTCGTTAAAAAACAACTCTGGGCAGTTTACAAAGCAGTTAAAATCAATTAAAATTACAATATAAAATAATCCTAAATAAGTAGAAAATAAATATAATCCAAGGATAGATGTTAAAATTGGCAGTGGCCGGGGGAGTGTCATCAAGGTGCCAGCCACCCCTAGGATTTATAGCAATATTTCATTTATTTTATTCAGGATCTGCATAAACTTGAGTTGAAGTTTCTAGAAAAGCAGGCAAAAGAAGATGAAAAGATTGAAAAGGAAAAAAGATTGTCGAAGCTGAGAAAGAAGGTAAGGAATTTAATATGTTATGTATCTCAGTTCCATGTACATTTCTCAGAAGTAGTCCTCTATCATTTAAATATTATCACATATGATACTAGTTTCTTAGCACAATATCATTATATTTAAGTATCATCCTAACACTGGAATTTAGTCACCTGTGTGGAAGCAAGGGGAGAAGTTATAAATAGGTTAGAATGAAAGAAAATGCAAAAGATATTGAGCTGAGATTAGCTAAAGTAGATGTGCCTGTAATATGTAATTTTAAAAATAAAATGGGATCTTACCTAATAGCTTTCTTTCTAAAGAGGAGACATAAAATTATATCTGTATAGATGATGAATGAACAGTAAGTCCTGCTAGATTCATTTGGTGTTTCTCTCTTGTAAGTGTTTTAGGATTGTTATCCCAGACTTTAGTTTTATGCCTGGTTTCCAATTGGTAAGCCCCATGGAATTCAGTAAGACTTACTTTTGTGCAAAATTGTGTTCAGTTGCATTTTAAGTTTGGATAACTAAAACTTCCTTGAGAAATATGTTAAATGTTATGCAATAAGTGAAGCATGCATATGTGTGTATGTATGTGTGTGTGTGTGTGTGTGTGTATATATATATATATATATATACTCTATGTGTGTGTGTATATATATATAATTTTCTATTAAATTTTAATTATCAGTGATAGCATTGGAAACGCAGCATCCAGTCATAACCCATAGACTGCTAATTCTAAAATGTTGGAGTAATAATCTTGGTTGGACTGAAAGTTAATTTTTTAAAATAATATTTTTATTAAAAGTTTTAACTACAATAGTAAAAGATAATACAAACTAAAAAGAAAGAGAAAAATAGAAAGAGAGAATAAAAGGTGAAAGAAAGAAAAAAGAAAGAAAAAATAGAGAGAAAAAAAAGAAAAACTAGGAAAGCAACTTCCCACCCCCAAAATGACAAATACAAACAGCGTTACTATCTCTTCAACTTCTCTTAATTAACAGATATAAAACTCTTCATCCCATAACTCAGCTTTTAACTATAGGCAAGTCCAATAAGCAACATCTTTTCCAAAAAGTCCAAACAGAGCCCTAAAATAATAACATTAGTTAACAAATATAACACTCATTCCATATCTCAACTCTTAACTGTAAGCAAATCCAATACACAATGTCTTTTTCCAGTCCAGATGTCAGCAAGTCCAGAAAAAACCACCCAAAATAACATGTCCCAGTTTAACTCTGATCAAATAAGTCAACTTTATGTTCCTTCCTTTTGTATAAATCAATCCTGCTCTTTAATCCATTCAAATGATTATTGTCCCTTGTCTCAAATTTCTTCAAAACTTTAACAAGCCTCTTTTGTAAGTTCAGCAGGAAGAAATTATTCCAATTACTCTCTTAAATTGGCATTTTTATTTCCTTCTCAATTTTTAAAGCCTCTTCCAATTTTTTTTTCTATATCCAGTGATAAATTCTTGTTGACTTTGTTCTCCACAATCATGTCAGATAAGCTTGTTCCAAATTTTTTTCTGTAACAGCTTCTTCTGGGTACAGACTATTCATAAGAACACATAACACAGCTGACATTGTTGATTCAAAATCCTCAAAAATATCTCTGAATGCCATTATAAGTTGCTTATCTTATTATATCTCCAATATTGAAAATAATTTTTCCTTCCCATGAAAATGCATTTATTCTTTAAAATTAATTTCAAAGTGTTAATATTCAAAATCAAATATTCCAACATTTTCTGAACCCTTAATTTGTTTAAAACTTTCTATAGCCAAAACCTTGTCTTACTTTTTGCAGTTTATTTTGGATTCTTAAAGCTTATAAAGATACAGTTTCATTTTTTTATATTAAGGATTGAAGGCACTCACCCAGTGTTTCCAGCCTTGTCATTTTGAAGGTGTTTAACTTCTTTAAAGCAGTTCATAGGCAATTTCCAAAAGTGGTTAGCAAAGGCAGTGCAAACTTAGTTTCCTTTAAAGGCTCCGACCGCAGCTGGAGCAAGAATGGCAAATTCCCTCGTCTCCTGCTTCTCCCACTCTCCGGAGACCACTGCTTTGCAGTCTCCTCATGAGGAGCAACCTAATGGAGCACAACATGGGCAATCTATCATCTTCTTTCTCCAGAGAGGGTTGAAGGAGCTGACCTACTTGTCGGTTCCTTGTTCTTAGCCACGATTGTTGGCTCTGGTTTTCACAGAGCCGTCTTCAGTCCACCATTACTTCCCTGGAAGTCAACTGAAAGTTAATTTTTGTACTTCTAGTGGTCTTGGTTCCATCAGGTTTGATACCACCTTATAATTACTGTCTGGACCCATTTGACTTCTTTTCTGTTAGTGGCCACCACTCTCTGTTGGGAATCACTACTTTCATTTGTAACTTTATTCTAAGTGTCCAAAAAGAATCAAATACAAAATAAATTAATGAATAGCATTTTGGGTTCTGTGATGGTGACAATACAGTCCTGTACAAGTCTACTTAGAAATATGTACAATTAAGTTTGGTAATTTCCAGTTAAATGTCCATTTTATTTATTTATTTATTACATTTATTTAGTACATTTATTTAGTACATTTTTATTCTGCTATATTTTGTAAGGACTCATGGCAGCACACAATTAAAATCATAATACATTACAACAACTTAATAAATCAACAAAATAAATAAAAATAAATCAACCCAGTAAAATTAAAAGTAATATAAATAGACATCCAACAGCTGCAAATCAACCCCCCCTTCCCCTCTGTAGGATTCTCTGTATGGAGAGTCAGCTGAGACACTTTGAATGCACTGCATCATCTAAGTATTCATTTCTGTTTGCAATTGCCTTAAATAATTTTTCCTGTATTTCCACTATCAACAGGTTCACATTAATGTAACTCGGGATCCATATAGGTTATACAAACCAACAAAAGTTTGGGAAGAACGAACAAAAGAGATTGGACCTGTAGGTGCAGGGCCAGTTTTGTATATTCCTCATAGGTAAGAAAATTAAAATATTTGATATGATTAATATACTTACCTTAAATTAAGTTACCTTAATTTATGTGTTTAATGTACTTTTATATGATTAATATATTTACGAGATACTTACCTATTTTTACATTTATAGGGCTGTCCCAAGCTGGCGACAGGGATTATAATTGGACATCTGCAAATAATTTATTTGAAGATACGTAACAGCATAATTTATTACTATATTAGTTTATATTACATATGAGGAAAGTTGTACATGCACATATAAATGTTATGACATGTTAAATAAAAATCAGGTATGCATTGTTTCATCGTGTAAAGTACTTTGAAAGGCTGTTTTTTTGTTTGCATTTTCTTTCTCTAAAACCTGGATTTAGTAAGTGATTTCTTTTTGTAAAGTTGGGAAAGAAGTAAATGTGCTGCTTTCTACATACTTTCATTATTGTCTTCTTTTTCAACCTAGAAATAAACAGAGGAAATTAACATAGCTTTACTTAGTAGATTGATTACATAATGTATCTCAAATTAACTTAGAAGTGTAAGCAGATGATAAATATATTCAAGATTCCTAAGATGAGATATAAAATAATAAACTATTGTTATAGGGAAAATGAGTAATTTCTTAATCACCATCCTTGAAAACAGATTAAAAAACTCTAGAGAGACAAAGTATTATTTTTCCTTCCTGCATAGTCCTCCAAACAATTGGAAATGTTTCAAAGTAAGCTTGCCTAAGATTAAGTTGTGTAACTTTTTTTTTAACATGAGAGTCAGCTCCGTAGCCTGAATTCTGCATGCACAAGCCTTTTATCAGCTTTTAAAAACAGTCTATTTAAAGCTTGACATACATGTAAAATATATTCAAATACAAAATGAAAGTAACAATTTCAACAAATTTGTATAGAGGCACCTCCACACTTCTGCACAGGGGAATGTGGGAGGTCTTATCCTTTGTAACAATGGTATTAAAAGAAATGTTTTCATTTGGATAGTTACTGCAATTATTTTAGCTAATGATAATTTTTTATTTAAAAGCAAGCGTAGCAATTGTGTTAGTCCATATTCTGAAAGTCTTGTCAGACAATATCTTTTATTAAGACTATCCAACAATTTTTTGGGGAGGGACCACAAAATACCAAGACCGGGGAAGTGATGGGAAGCTGATTTGATGTCATAGTCTTGAAGTCTGCATGAAGTCTCCAGACTTAAGACAGTGTTGAAAGATGTACTCTGGATCCATATTTTTGCAATGTAATGCAGCAAATCTGTGACTTTTTTTTTAAACGGAGTGATCAACAGATCAAGAAATGGGATGCAATAGTAATTTCCACAGCATATGTTACAAAATTCCTAAGGATCCATAGTGAACTGTGATGATGCTAGGAAACAAAGCAGTTGTGATCTACAGTTATTTAGGTAAAAATCATGTGCTTTCTTGGAAACTTCTGTGTTGCATTAATGGTTTCATAGTGAATCACAGGTTATCTAGTTTTTTTTTTCAGAAAACAGTAGGTTCAGATATGATCAGAAACTTGACAATCATTGACAGTGAGCACTATTATGTGAAAAGATCTATGCAGTCCATGCAGATTTGTGTCATGTATCCACAACCAACTGATGTGGAAATTCAAGTTTATAATTTTAATGATTCAGTCAATGGGCTCTGTTTTAAAATTTGATACTGGTTTGTAATATCCCCTTTAAAACATGTCAAGAATGCATGCCTTTATACTAGGGGCATGCAGAAAATGGGATTTTTTAAAAATTTCAAACATGGAACATATCACATTTTGGAGGTTCTGCCAAACCATTTGGTAGTTCTAGAACTGAATCCAGGAACACTTTGGTTTGTCCAGGTTTCGGATGAAACAGAATCCATATGTGGTAAGAAAAGGCAGTGTTCACCATCCTCTCTCTTCTCTGCAGCTCCAAGCATGGCATAGCCCATTGGTCGTCCACCTCTGCTATCTTCCTAGCACCTTCCCCTTCCCTTTTTCCACCGCCATCCCTCAGCCACTGATGTCCTTGACTTTTTCCCTGCATTCTCCCACTACACCAATTCTGCAAACACAAAATGCCTCCATTTCATTCAATGCATGGAACAAAACAGCCTTATTTCAATTTGAGCATAAGTCACCCAAAACTACCTGTTTCATGCAATGAACATCTTGCACATCCCTATTAAATGCAATGCTGTAAAGAATGGGCATTGTGGTGTGGAAACTCCCTGTAAAAAATCCTTCAGACTCAAAGTTTTGTGACATCATTCCATGTTTCTCTGTCATTGTAATGCTACTGAAGAAAATATCCTTGATTTTAACTGTACAAGCTCAGGTATATTCTAGGATTTGATGGTAGTTTTGGAAGGTCCCCTGTAAAAATCCTGAGGATCCACATGAAAATGTAGTACAGATCCATGTTTTGCAGTACAATACTTCAAGGTTTAATAATCCATGTCGGTTTTTGTAGCATATAGGTCTATGAATTATTTTAATAATTTATCAACGACAAATAAGTAATTTCAAAGAGATCTTGGAGAGAAATTACATGAACATTCCTAACATTTCTGCACCTTCCTAAATTTGTCATATCTGTAATTTTTCTGGATCAAGCCACGTAAACAGATATAATCTGTAATTTTGCAGCAATATATATCTGATCCCATGAAAAAAAAATGTGTACAAACAGGAAAAAGTTACCCATGTTTTTACGCCGTGCTGACTGTCAAGCATGAATGGTCAGAGTATTTTTAAAGCTGCTTTTGGTTGGCGCCAGAGCTGCTTAACCCCGCCTCTTTAGCCGCAAGGGGCGGGATTAAACTTTGTCGCCCGGCCGGGTTGTTGCAGTCGCGGCCGCTAAAATAGGCCCAGCGTTGGGGCCGCGTCACGTGACTGTGTGCTGCCGGTGACGGAGTTGCGTGTGAGGGTAGGGAGCGGAAGACCAACATGGCGAGCGCGGTACTGGTAGAAGATGAGGGAGGCTTTGGGGACGGGGAACGGTTGGATTTCCTCAAGGAACGCCACGTGCGGTTCTTCCAACGCAGTCTTCAGATTTTGCCGGAACGCTATGCGTCCCTGGAGACCAGCAGGTACCCTCGGGGAAGCGGGAAGAGATTCGAGGTGTTTGGGTGGGAGCTAAACTACGAGCTCTGACCCAAGAAGCAGCCCCTGCGCAAAGTGCTTGGGACAGCTGAGCGGTGGGCGGGGTCCTTCTCTCCGAAGCGGGAATAGCCTGCCAGGATTTGTTCTCTTCTGGCCACTCAGGGGTGTCAGGGCGGCAGGCCAGAATGGCGATCTGGGAGGCTTCCCGGGATCAGAATTTGTGGAATGGCGTTAGTCTAATTCCTGATCAAATCTGACTGCACGCCAGAAGTCCTACATCCTGATCCCTGATGGCTGTCCGTGGCAGCTTGGAATTGAAAGGAGTTTGTATGCTCAGAGATACTCCCGGTTATTCATGCACTTCAAATCGTAGCCTTAGTGTTGGGGTGTACTGATCTAACAATGATAATCTCATTGGTACTAAAATAAATAATGGAAATCAGATCCAGTTTCCCCATGCTTTTTAGACCAGGCATACAATCTTTGTTTTCAACCTTGTTTTCAGTTGTTTCAGACTCAAGAAACTTAAAGAAAGTTGAGATGCTTTCCGTTTCATTTAATTAAAATGTTAACCTTCTGCAGCTTACCCTTAATCAGAATCCAGATGTTTTGTTCTACAGTTTCCAAAACTTTTGAATACTTACTCTCCTGTTTGAGATGGATAGAAGTTTGAGAACAGATAGTAGTAGTGCTTAGCTAGTTTGGTTGGTAGGGTACCTGCTTTGTGTTCAGAAAGGCCAGATACTTCCTGTGTAAGGTTCTACTCAAAAGAATTTGAATCAAATGACTGAAAATATAAATTGAAAAGAGAAAGCATTTGCTTAAAAGGTAGACTAGTATATCAGTCCATAGACTTTGTAGTGGAAAAATGTAGAAAATGTTCTTTAAAAGAACTGTTGTGGTATTGTTCTATTCTTGGACAAATCTGAGTTGGGTAAGCTGCTGGGGGAGCAGTACAAACATGACAAAGTATTTTTTTTAAACCTTAGAGTACATCCCATTGAACTCAATCAAACTTAGTTTTGAGTGGACATCTGTAAGATTGCCCTCAAAATGTGTGGCAAATTCTTATTTCTTGGTTTCGAGCTGGATATCAAGATACTTGGGTATTATGTAGACTTAATGTCCAGGCCCCTTAGAAAGAAGATATGGGGGTTCTAAAACAGGAGAGTGATTTGAACTTGGGACAGTAAGAAGCAGCTAGGGAATGTGTCTTCTTTCATGAAGTTTTCTTTATCGGCAGTTTCATCATTTTGAAACTAATTTTGTCAGGTCATTGTCTTGAAATAAAATGAATTACTTATTTAAACTGCATTTAATATGTCTAGGTTTGGGGAGAGAGCTAAAAGTCTTCACCAATTTAACTAAAAGTTTGTGCCGCTAAATGCAAGGGATTTAACTCTGGCCCTTTGTACAGTATCATACTATTAAGCTAGGTGTTGCAGTTTCTGTAAACACATCAAAGGTAAAGGGTTTATTTTCTGTGCTCCCATATTGGGAAACTGGCCCATTATTACTAATTCTGTCCTCGGGACTTGTACTGCATTGTTTACTCTTTGAATGTACTCTCTAATTAATCTAGCTATTTATTAAGAACTTGTTCTGTTAAAGGCAAGTACGCAAGAAATGCAATTAATTAGTGAGTCTAAATGTTAAAATTTGAACACACATTGCAATTAAAAGTGAGTGTAGCAGGTATGAATGTGTTTGATGGTGTTTTGCTTATTGCATTGTGAAATCTTGGTAGATGTTAAGTTGTATCTTTCTGTTAAAGGCAGTTTAGATATTGCCTGAAAGTTTCTAAGTTTAAATGTTGCTTGCTCCAAAATTAATAAGAATCATATTGCTGCTGTGTATTTTTACTGCATTTCAGATTTTACAGAAAAATGATGGTGTAAGAATTCAGTAGCATTTTACAAGATTCTTGTTAGAGGTTGTAGCTAATAAACATAGCTGGATTGAATTGGCATTGTCTCTTGGAGTTCCTTGGGCTAGGCCTGACATCAGTCTCCCCAGACTAAACCCCCAGTCCCCAAAGTCCTCCAGCCACAACAGTGTGAATTCCGCAGGGAGGTGCCAGTCTCATCCTCTTGTTCCTCCCACGCGGTTCTGGCGAGCTAAGAAAATGTTTATCTGCCTGAGCTTCGCCTTCATAATTCCATTCCACCACAGTATAGTCCTATTTAATCCTGAATTTGGGAAATCAACTAAGCAATGAAATGTATGTGTTTATTTTGCAAATAATATAAGTATACATTTATTTCTTAAAATTATTTTCAGTTTCTGATTTAAGCAAAATGCTAATTCAGTCAATAGTTAACGTTTGCTCAAACAGAATTTTTCATGGGTAGATTGACTGATAATTTCCAATGCTGTATAAAGCTTTTTTTGGCTTCAATATTGATGTGGAAATCCTTTTTTTGTTTTGTTTTATTATGTAAATGCTAACGTGTTTGCAGTGAGCCTTATGGTTTAATAAATCAGTAGCACAATCAATTTTGCTATTCACTTTTATGTCTGAAGTACATATAACACGTATTCCTACAGATCTCTTAAGTTTCAGTAAATGAAACCCTGACTTAAAAAGATACTGCTCAATAATTTATTCCATCACCAGCCAGATATATAAACCTTTTCTAGAACATTTTTTTGTTTATTGCATACTATCTCTTCCTGTTCATACTCTGAAATATTTATCCACTTTTCTTGGATAAATATTTTATATGCAAAGGTAATAGGCTTTTGTACAGCTATTGATTTTTTTTTTAACATAATCATGTACTCTTCAATAAAAAAAGATGGATTGTATCATACAATTGCCCATTTATTTGACCAGCCCTGGATTGTGTGGAGGTCTGTGGTGCAAGTTACATAGAAGTCTCCAGAACACCTGAATGTAGGAACCCATGTATCTACTTCTGCCTTGATAGCTTTTAATTATAAGGTAAATAACAAGTTTTAGGGGAAAATAATTGGAAACAGAGTTTCATGTTTCTGACATTAACTCAAATGTACCATAGAAGTGTGTGGTGCTACATGAGAGTGGAGAAAAGAATAAGAGAAGGCCTGCATAGAAGGGAAAGGGCTACATTGATAAATAAAAATAATTGTGGGCCACAAAGGACTACCTGGTGCACCGATCAGCTGTTTGGCAACTAGTGGGGTTGCCTTAGCACTGGAGCTGGCAATGGTGGTGAGACCTGGAGGCTAGAAGTTAAAAATTAGTTCTTTTATTCTTGTGTTATTTGGACAGAAAGCAAAGCAAGTGTTTAAT